TGGTTTCATGTTTTTTACCTTTTTGGGGGTTTTTTTTTTTTTTTTTTTGCTGAGTTTGCTTTTTCTAATAAACCCATATCATTCACCTGGGTTTTCTCTCTCTTATTGATCATGACATGAACATTTTATATTTTTTACAATCTTAAGAGGCATCATTTAAACAAGTTTGCACAAAGCCTTATACAAAGTAAGAGTTTTAGACAAGTGACATTTACAAATAAAGAATTTGCTATTCAAAATGATGCATTTTAGAAAATTGTCAATAATATATTTTTTTCCAGTGCACATAAACTTAGTGTATTAGTTGGATAGATTTTTTTTGTAAGAGCAATAAATCACAGTTTTCGTAACATGCATTTTCCTTGAGTTTTAGTTTTTTTGCCATCTTTTGACCTAGTTTTCTCTCGTCTGTGTTACTCGGTTCACCTGTTTTTAATGAATTAGCCCATTAGTCCTTGTTTGGTTTAGTATTTATAGTCCTGTGTTTCCTGAGTTTATTTGTTCTGTCTGTCTGTGTTAAGTGTGTTGTAGACTGATTCCTTAAGGTTGGGTTAAAGACTCCTGTTGTTTGATCATTTATCTCTGTGAGGTTTTGATACTGTCCCATTAAAGGGGTCATATGACGTTCCTAAAAAGAACATTATGTTGTGTATTTGGTGTAATGCAATGTGTTTATGCAGTTTAATGATCAAAAAACACATTATTGTTTAACTACTTTACATTGGAAACATGAAAAAAAGCAAAAATTTCAGCAACATGTTTTTGCAGCAGTGTATGATTGTATTATAGTTTACAACCAGACAGCAGACAATTCACAACCAGACAACATGGAGAATGTTGAAAGGGTAAGTTAAGACATGGATCATCACACCAGTATACAACAAAATATGTCTACAGAAACGTTTATATAGGTTTATTTCATTTGTTGCAGGCAGTGATGTATTCATTTATTCATATGTATTAATTCATGTTATAACAACTAATAACAGACACAGATTTAAAGCATCGCAAGCTACAAATGAAGAGCACAAAGAACTGAAATCAATGTATACAACTAGCTGAAGTTTGCTGTGCTTTATCCTAACATTACACAAAGAATGCCTGCAATCATTCAGTCAGGGACGACTGCACAAAACGTGCACTGTAGACTAATAAAAACATTATAAACTGTTAGGAAATGATAAACAAATGTAGTTTGTACAACGCTGTAAATATATTTACCTTTTTAAAAAATATATTTAATTAAACCTGCTGAGACTGAAATTTCTGAAAACTGCTGAGACTGAAAACTGAAATTCTCAGTTGCACCTGGTTCCACGCGCATGTCCGGGAAACTCATGAATATTCATGTATGCTCCGCCCACCAAAACCGAAAATCTCGTAACACCTGCCGGAATGTTTAGTGCAAGTGTGAGAAATCATTAGCCATTTATGATATTTATCATTTGATTATTTTTAATTACTTCTATTATTTAATAATATATTATTGTCATGTTTTTATGTTTTACATTTCTTATTTTTCTTGCTTATGCATTTTTATTGTTTAACCTTATGATTTGGGGGTTTTACGAACTGTTTTATCTTCATGGATAAGAGATAAGAGGGAATTATTTATGATAATTCAAAGTTCATGGGATGTTGTTATGAAGCAGATAACATGTATTTATACTCTGCTCCTTTTTTTTTACAAATGCTAGATTAAAAAAAAAAAATTATTTTGTATGCTAAAACGTGTACGTTATTTGAACGAATGATTTAATATCACAAACGTTTTCCCGCTGTGTGTGGAGTTTAAAGACGCTCCCTTAAGCTCTACAGGTGAGCAGTGACGTCATCATTGTTTTTCGCATCGCAAATAAAAGTGAAAGCAAATGTTCAGAGTTAATGTTTCTCCATTTAAACAGCCAGAATCGATTCTATACGGAATATCAAAGTGTTTCATAGGAACCTTTATCAAAGCTAAGCCATGATTAACGTGCAGCTGCTTCATAGAAAGGCGGTGATTTTGTGAATCTGTGTAAATAAGGTGAGTGCTGATGCTCAGGTGCTTTACAGTGACTTCCGCATTCATATTTCCTCTAAAGGATGTATGTTTTTATGTGTTTTAATATGTTATTTTGCAAGCAGATGAACGTGGTTTGATTGGTATTTGGTGTTGTCTGTGGTTTATTTGATCATTTGTTAACACACGACTAACATTGTGTATCTGAGTGAACGCCGCGTCTCATGATCTGTTTCTCTCAGGATCCGTTCAGCTGAATTATTGAGTTTGTTTGTCATTTCTATTCAGAGTCAGTGCTGGAGATCAGATTCTGCTTCATCATGGATGACACACAAACATCCACAGATGAAGATTGTTCTCCAGGATGCAGGTACTTTGAATAAACACTGTATTAAATCACATTGAATGATGGGAGATGGGAGTCTCCATTGTGTTTTTGTGTTAAAATACAGA